CGGGATGGGGGGGAACTTACCTCCTCCTGCTTCCTCCTCTTCCTCATAGGTGTGGAGCTCCCTCCCCCCCCTCCCGCGACTATCGCAGGTCCCGCCCCTTGTATATATATATTTTAGAAATGATTTGGAAAATATTTGAACACCTTGTCTTAAAATATTTTATTCATCAATTTAAAATAAAACGTTCCATGAACAATTTTTTTCTTTTCTTTTTTCAATTTTTCCAATTTTTCGGAAAAAACCCAAAAAAGGCTTCAGGAAAAAAACGGGGGTAAATGGGGGTTTTTCCGAATTTTTCCGGGTTTTTCCCGGGCCTTCACATCTCTACTTATAAAGCCTTCTACAATTGTGTTGAGGTTTGAGAATTATTTAATAAATTCCGTATGACGTTTTTGAAGCGGCTCCGACTTTGATAAAGGGCGAGCACCAAAACAGGGTCAAGCCGGCCGTCTATCAGTCCGACTTTGCGAGCGTAGTCAGTTAAGTGACATTCTGCAAATGAAATCAGTCGGACCTTCCAGAGTTTGAGTAACGCATGCAAGGACATTGTGGTTTCATAACACCAGGAAACTTTGTTGCTTCTTGTCGCCCCGTGCGGGAGATTTTGTCTCGTATGAATACAAGTCATACACCTTTTTTTTGTAGTTTCAGTGAATGATGGGCACTTATATTTACTCTTTATAAGTAGTTTATTGTGGATTTGAGCAGTCTTCCCTCTAAGCTGAGTGAGCTGCCCCTTGAGGGAGATTTTGTCTCCTATGAATTTTTTTTGTAATTTCAGTGAATGAGGGGCACTTATATTTACTCTTTATAAGTCATTTATTGTGGATTTGAGTAGTGTTCCCTCTAAGCTGAGTGAGCGTGAGCTAGCTCACAGTTTTTTAGCCTCCGGCTCACACATTTTTGTCTCAGCCCAGGAAGGATGGGGCTCCAGAGCAAACTAATTTATGCAGCAGCCAAATCACTCCCTCACAACTTTGATGCCACAAAGCTCACAAAGTAGAATTTTTGCTCACAGGATTCCACAGTTTAGAGGGAGCATTGGAATTCAGTACAGTTCATGATCTCGGTCAGGGTCTGTTCCCTCTAAGCTGTGGAGTCTTGTGAGCAAAAATTCTACTTTGTGAGCTACGGGCCTTAAAGTTGTGAGCGAGCAATTTGGCGACTGCATAAATCAGTTTGCTCTGGAGCCATCCTTCCTGAGCGAAGACAAAAATCTGTGAGCCGGAGGCTAAAAAACTGTGAGCTAGCTCACACTAACTCAGCTTAGAGGGAACACTGGCCTTGGTGTGTTTTATATCTGACTGTTACCATGATCGTCTCTTCCGTTTATCTTGCTGAGACAGGACAAGCCCATTCCCCTTCCTAATTCTTTTGCTCCCCTCTTTTATTTCTCTCCCGCAGGGATTTCTTCAGTGCCAACGTCTTCACCTCTCGGGCCACTGGCGGGCTCGCCTGTGATCTCTGCTGCCAACGCCCTGGGTATGCCAGTTCCAGCAGCCGCAGGAGCTCAGCAGTAGATGACCGCCACCCGTCTCCCGGACGCCCGACCAGAACCGGGTCGGGCCGGAGGACCCCGCTCCACCCCTTCCCCCGGACAGGAGCCTCTCACGCCCAGTGCTGGGGGGGAGGGGGGGAAGGGTGGGGATATGGAATGCTTTGGAGGAACGATGTCTGAACAGTTGCTTGTGGATTTATAGTAGTTCAGTCATAAAAAAAACGATTATAGGCCCTTTTTTTTTTTCCTTTTTCTTTTTACTTGAACTTTTTCGAAACTCAGGGGAGTCCCTGAGAGAACCCACGGAGGGGAGTGCTTTGTGGACGATTCTTCCTCATTCTGCTCACCGCGTCCCGTTCCACCTGAGATGAAGCAGCGGGGCCCTTCCCTCCCCAATCTCCAGGCTTTCTTCTTGCCGACTCGGGGCTCTTGCCCACTGGGGAGGGGAGGGGGAAGAAGAAGTCATTGTGCTCCTTTTCCTCTGCTGGGGGCTGCCAAATACAGGCAGCCAGGTTGGAAGGTTAGAATTCTATGATTCTATAAGGGGGTGGGGGAGTCCTGAAGTACTCATCAGTTCTAATGCCTTTACATTCTGCATTGTAATGTAGCCAAATGGGTGCATTGGGAGGAAATGTCACTCGCAGAGACGGTTTCCCCGGGAAAGAGCAGACAGGCCCTGCCCGTTGGGGATTTCTTGCTGAGAAAATCCGGATCTCTTCCCGCGGGCCACTTGGCTCGCCGATTCATCCTCTTCTCCCCCTGCATGTGGTGTCAATCCAAAGTCTCCAGGTTCCTAACGCATTTAGAGGGAAGGCCAACGACTACCTCCACGGAAGGTGTTCCGGCGTAGGGGAAGGCGATAGATTCCAGTAAGCGGCTCCCAGCCCCCTGCCATCAAGAGGCCTCCAGTTTCCCTTGGCTAGGGATTCTGGAAAGGAACGCATCACTAAAAAGAAATTTAAGCTCCTGGCTATGTGTCTCCACCCAAACTGGACCCTCCCCCCAAACTGATCTGGGGGCCCCGGCCGCCCACCCTCCTCCACGTGCCATGTGATCAGAGATACCCTCGTGTGCGAGATCTTTTTTTTTAAAAGCACGATTCACCGTCTTGTAAATAGACATGGAAGAAAAGAAGCGAGCAGCCTGTGACTCTTTGGGGGGGGACGGGACCGTAGAGCTGCCGGAGAGACTTAACTGTGGAGAACATCTGCTTTACCCCACGTGTATATAGTCAATCTTGTCCTTCCTCTGCCGAACGACCCAACGTTGGAGTTCCTTGCTGTGTAAATAAACTGTTTCCTTTTTTTTTTAATTTATGAAGGGGTTAGGTTTAAGTTGATTGTGCCAAGGGTCTCGCGCCGAGCCGGCGTCGCATTCCGTTTCCCCCCGCTTTGCAGCCCTCGAACCGCAAACAGAGGTTTGGGGAGCTCAGACTGCGGTCTCTTCGTGGTGCACCTTGTTCAGGTGGGTTGTAGTCAGTAATGGGGGCGAAGAAGCCGTTTTTTACAGGGAGGAGCTCACGAGAGAAGCAAGAAAAGAAAAGGATCCTTGGGCATACCTTTTCACACCTCAGCCGCGCTGGGCTTTTAAGAAGGGGAGGGGCTAGGCACTGAAGGCACGCCCCCCCCCCCCCCGGTTCCTTGCGCCAGGCTGTTCAGGGAGTTCAGGCCACTGGCAGGGAGACGGGAAGCGCACCTGTCCCCCTCGCTTCAAGACGTCGGCCTCATTCGACAACCGCCGCGAGGGGCAGATCTCTGTCCAGGAACCCAGTCTTACGGATAATCACCACTTTAATCTATATGCAACGTGGGCTTTGTTTTTTTTTAATTGGGGCTCGGTAACCCCCGCGTCCCTTACTGTTTTGCTTTTGTCAGGACGCTTGGAGGGTACGGGGCGAGCAGGAACACATCACAAAACGAAGAGGCTGGAATCCCGAAATGTCCCCGTGGCCTCCCCCCCCCCGCCCCCTTCCACTGCAACATAAAATTGCAAATCCGTGAACCCGGATCTGCTCTTTGCTCACTGGTGGAGACCCCTGGTGGTTGGGTGGTCACGGTGCATTCTTGCTCTCTGGCGATCATTGTTGTGGGGGGAATTGGCGGTAGCACTTGTGTGGAACATAAGCAGGACTCTTCAAGGAGGTGGCCCATTGCCCTTCGTTTCCCCCACCCCCACCCCTTCCTTTTAATTTGGTGAGCAGGGCACGCGTGCAAGCCCCCCAAAGCCTCACAGCAGCAGGGGAAGCCTAATAGAGAGAAACCTTCGAAGAGCACGCATCCCCAGCGATCACTAAACCTCAAAGCGCAGGGATGAGTGTGGGAAGGTTTCCGGTCCAGGGACTGAACGCCACTGTCTGCCGCCCTGGCGGGCAACCCATGCTGAAAACGAGGAAATTGCAGATTGTTAACAACGCCTGTGTTGTAAATTACCTCATCTGTATACCTTGTATCAGAAGAACACGTCGTTTTTTTTAAAGTTCTCAGCACTTCCTGGTTTTTTTCCTGCATTGTGTTAGATTGGGGGGGGGGTCAAATGCCAATATAATAGACCCATTGGCAACTTTAAAAAGGGTGGTTGTTTTTTTTAAAAAAAAAGCAAGTTTTTTTTTTTTAAACCGTTTGTTTGAAGTGATTTTTGGGGGAGGTTGGAATTTTAGAGTTTTGGTTCTTTTCCTTTGGAATTTATTGGTTGTAATTGTATTGTAATTGTTAAAACAGAAGCAGACTAACCCTTAACTGTGCTGAGAAGAAGTTGTGCCATTGGAGGTCTTTAATTTTTTTAAATAAAATCGTTGAAACAAAGCTATGGTCGGTCGGTAGCATTCCAAAGGCGGTCTGGTTGCATTTCGCACCTGACGGAAGTGTCGAAGGTTGGCTTGCCCTCTGGTCCGGCACAAACGTCTGTCACTTGGTAACTCAGCTCATGGCGGTATGTAGCTCTACAGCCCTGACCTTGGCAGAATTGCTTTATGTTTGAGGTGGGTCGATGTGTTGGTCTGAAGCAGCAGAATGAAGTTTTGAGTCCCCTGGCACCTTTGAGACTCTTCTGGCTCTGTTTCCTGGGAAGAAGAACCGCTTCTCCTCTTGTACCAGTTCTTATATTCCCCAGCCCTCTTCTTCCCTATCTGTCAAAATCGGCACCAAAACTTCCCAAGGCCTTCTGGGGTTTGTAGGCCCCAGCCTCCCCTACTGCTAGCCAGGCTCCCTGGGCCTACTAGGCCCCTGGTGGCACAGCCCAGATCATGACAAGAGACCAACAAAGTTTTATTTTGGGTAGAAGCTTCCGTGTGCACGAGAACAAAGTTTGAGTCCCCTGGCACCTTTGAGACCAATGATGTTTGATTCTGGAAATAAGCTTTCGTCTGCCCAAGAACAAAGTTTGAGTCCCATGGCGCCTTTGACACCCAACAAAGTTTTATTTATTTATGTTTATTTTATTTATTTATATATATATATATATATGGCAAGCCGTGCTGGCAACGACTCACCTACTCTCCCATTGGCCACTGGAGGCGCTGTCTTGCTGTCCTATTGGCCCGGCCCAGCGGCTCCTTCCATTCTTATACCCCCACTTTTGACACGCTGCACCTTGGGAGTTGTAGGTCTCAGCTCTCCCTTCTGCAACCATAGCAAAGGGAATTAGAACTACAACTCCCTGAGGTCATAGGGCATTAGCAGGGAGTAAGTTAAACTTAATCAGTTAAAGTGTTCAATGCAGCTTTGGAATTGAAAGGGGTCGGGGGCAATGCTCCCTCTAAGCCGTGGAGTCTTGTGAGCAAAAATCCTACTTTCTGAGCTACCGGCATTAAAGTTGTGAGCCAGCGATTTGGCTGCTGCATAAATGAGTTTGCTCTGGACGCAGTGTTCCCTCTAAGCCGAGTTAGTGTGAGCTAGCTCACAGTTTTTTAGCCTCCGGCTCACACCTTTTTGTCTCAGCTCAGGAAGGAGGGCTCCAGAGCAAACTAATTGATGCAGCAGCCAAATTGCTCACTCACAACTTTAATGCCAGGAGCTCACAAAGCTAAATTTTTGCTCACAAGACTCCACAGCTTAGAGGGAACATTGCTCT